TAGTGTAACAGTTAGTTTTAAAAATACAGTAATGAGTCATATAGATTATTGATTACTCTGTTGTACAGTTAAAGTCCACTGCTACATACAAATTATTAATATAATTCACAAATGTGTTGACCACTGAAGTCGTGTACACTAGTAGAAGCTGTGGACCGGTTGTAGAACAGTCACCGGATGAGGATGAGTTGTCCCTGTAGAAATCCAGTTAGATAGTGTAGACCAGTGAGAAGACGAAGCATCGAGCAGCACACTGTATTGTAAATTGTACTACACAGTTATGCATATCTCAGAATGAATCGTTATAAGCAAACGTTGTGTACAATGTTTCTATTTTTAACCTCTAACAAAAGAGTGTACAGTCCTGCTGTAACAGGCTCGACGAAGGAAACGGAAAGAAGGGACGACAAATGGAAATTAGAAATAGACTGAGAGTGGGAAATTTTATTGGTTAATTTGTCTCATATTTGTCTTTCTAAACTATTACAGATCGGTTAGTTCACTGTTACTGACCAGCTATAAGGGAGGTTTGTTTTGCTAATGATAAAATGAAAATATATTGTTGAGAAGAAATGAAGGTAGACAAATTCAAAGATTATGTCTGTATGATTTGATTCAAATTTGATCAGACATCAATATGCTTTAGAAAAGTATTGAAAATCACAGAGTACACGAAGGCTATTTGTCTTGTTTCCCGACTCTTCAGCAGTGTGCACCCACTACACTCTCAAGGCGATTAAACACTACACAGTCTGAGTACATTTTGACTTTCAGTAATACTCTAACTAATATCTATCGGTGACGACAGCTTCACCGAAATTAATCCAAGTGTCAAAATTACCCTAATTCAGAAAATTATACATTATCACACAACCTCAAACAGAAATGATGTATGTCGTTGTTTGAAGGACGTTATCACGTTATGTTATGAAACAGATCAGAAATTGTGATGTCAGTAATTTGACTTTCTAAAAGAAAGTGTAGGGAAATTTCACTTGGAATTGTGTAAATTGTGAATTTCAGACTTTGATTTAAAGTTTTACCAGAATTCACGTGGCTCCGTCAGCTGAGTCACACCATGTATATCACTACCAGTTCGGGCCTGAAATAGCGAAATAGCCATCATATGGTGTTTCGATCACTTCAACCTGGTTAACAAGCGTTGCTAGTTGACATGTGTTGTGTCTACCTGCTCAGATCATTCATTCAATCGATGAATAAATCAATCAGAATTAGGTAGCATCGTGTACATTTATTTGAATTTCAAATAGTCTATTTTAGTAAATTGTCGTACAACGAGGAAATATGCATGTATCATGTATGACGAATGAAAAGAAAAGCCGTTCTATTTAAGTACAATTTCATGCTATCACAACCAGTGTCCTATACAACCGATAATTCCATCTCATAGTTTCCCGTCTCAACAGTATGACTATCCATCATCACACTGTTATTTTTTATGAGAATCAAGTCAAGCTATCAGTGATTGATTACTAAAGTTACTTGTGTAATTACTAAACTGACGTTTATTGATGATCTGGTTTCCAATTTGTTTCGTTTTAGATAATTGAGTGGAACAAGTGTGGAGTACGTAACAATATGATTGTACACTCTTCTGTGACATGTTATAAAATAGAAACACTTTATACAACTTTTGTTTACAATGATTCATTCTGAAATATACATAACTGTTGAGTACAATCTACAGTACAGTGTGCTGCTTGACGACCCAATTTATCCCTAGTTCGTACGGTTTAATTGCTTCCCTACTAACTGTGTTTTATACTCTGCATTTCTACAGGGACCTTCCAACTTCATACAAAGTCTGTTACACAACCGGTGCACAGCTCTTACTAGTGGACACGACTCCATCAGTCAACACTATTTTGGATTATATTACTAATTTGTAGCAGCGGACTTTAGCTATACACCGAAGTAACCAATTAATCTAAATGACTCATCACTATATTTTTGTCACATACTGTTACGCTATCATCTCATTAACTTGGATTTTAATTCTCATAATTTTTCTGTTACTCAGCTCTCCAGTAAGTCCCCTACACAGGTAGTAAAGTGTGAATATAACTCGCAGTATTTATTCATAAACACGGCTTTAGTCGATATCGTGTAGTTGACTACCCAGGTAAGCGAAGGGAAATAACAAAACAAATACAAACTTGCGTTAAAGTATATACAGATCAATGTATATTTATATATATTTAAGATACAGTTACTTGGTGAGTTATTATTCTCCAAAAATACACAAATAAATACGGAGTTAAAGTTATGAAGTAGTCTTTCCGATCTGTTATTGCTCACTCAAAGTAGGACTATGTTTACAGCTCAACAAGTACATGCAGAAAGAGGAGGAGGTTGCAGCAGAAAATCTAAAATGCGCATATACGGATTAGGAACCAGCCAGAAATGATTATCAGTAGTTGGAAGCAAACAAACTGGTGAAGGGAAGTTGTATCATGCGTAGCGTGCGATGAACACGATGGAGTCCATTATTCAATATATCAGCCAACTCCCATGATGTGCAGTGAATTCATTGTTGTTACGTTTTTACAACAAACGTATAACTTGATATTATTCAGCCTCCACGCACGAAACAGTACATAAGAGAAAAGAAAATCTAATACAAAGTAGGGATTATCGTTTGCTTTTTCTGTTTCAGATGGTTTTTCTGAACACATAGATGGTTCAATAGTTCAGTGTTTGTAGTACGAAAAAATAACAGAGAGCATGGCATTAGTAAAAGTTCAACATACAATGAACTCTCACATCTGTAACAGTATTATTTGTATAGAGAAGCAATCTTGTTTTGCAACAGGTAGGTTTAGTGAATGACTAATTCAAGTAGCACTATATCGTGAATAGGCAGAGTTGGCATTCATCAGTCCAACGCAGTAATCGATTAGTCAACAACTTGGCTTCGTAACTTCAACGTATCAGGCTCAGTCTAGTGGGATAGTGGATGTGGAATATTGAAAAGCCACAACCGATGTCGAAAGAGCCGTTCAGTGGAACCTAGTTTCAATAATACTCTACTTGATGTTGCTTCGTAACGAAATTCATACAGAAATTAATCGAAATACCGATAAAATTCCTATAATCTAAATATTAGTATTAAAATAATTGATTTGTGTATAGCCTGGACGGGTTATATATATCACCACGTGGTCGATCGATAAATAATCAATAATTTTTATTGACTCATTTATACTTCTAGTGTCAGATTGTTAAGATATGACTATGTGATGGATTTATTGAGAGTCTTTCCATTTCGATATAAGGAACTACTATTTTAAACAATGTTCAATAAAGTGAAGATATAATCGTCCAAGTTCAGTAATTTCCTCAATTAAATGCATTGGGAAATCTCAATGTGTGTTTAAAAATTCACTTTATCCATTGAAACTAGTTGTATTGGCCGAACAAAACGCATCTCTGAACGCTACACAGCGTGCTTGCAGAGACGATCATGCAAATCAATTACTAGCTCCATTCTCGAACAGCTAGCAAACTCAGATCACGCAACTCCATCAGTCATCTCTTAAAAAATCATCTACACAATGAGACCGAATATTACGAAAGGTTTTTGGTTTTGACATTCGTGTATGCCAGAGGTGGTAGCATTTCGTCAATACAATCTTGAGCTCTGTGTGCATTCAAGGTTTGTTTCGTCTCTTATATTTCACAGTGGTCTCGAACACACCCATTTCGACTCAACGCTCCTATATTTAGTGATTAATTCAAAATTATCACTCTTGTATGCTCCTTTTGTACATTTACTAAGTGTTTTTTGTCTCATATGCTTCAAATTTGTCATGTGGACACTCGACTACTCTGCTTCTCACTGAACAAGAATTCTTACCACGTCAAATTCCAAACCATTAATTCCATTATGCGATTACCAACCACAGAGTTTCTGATCTTTAAAAACGAAGTCCGAATACCTGTTTCAATTACATCAGTCACCTGAATCCAACACACAACCATTACTCGGTAACAGGGTTGGGGCCCTCGGGACTCTAGGATTAATGGCTGGAGACAATAGGTGACATGGCTCAAAATCGTCGTCAACGGCGCAGATGTATTCAGTCTCTCTAATCTTTCATATTCCTTTTCAAAATTACCCAATCTCTTTCACTCTTATACTTGTCAAACTCTATTATTTCTCCCCACTAATCTTCTTGTCTACCTATGTGTGCTATTGGGAACGTGGAAACGCGAACTGTAGCACTTCGGTGCCAAGTTCTATGTTGAATCCAGAGAGACAGACAGAAAGACTAAACAACCATACGTCAAAGGGTAAGTACTACAACCATTGACTGTAACGAGACTAGACCGATACACAGTCGACGAATCGTATACACGTCCCATTACTTATGAAATGAAAGATATTACACAACACTACAACTAAGAGGAAACCATTAGAGTGTGACTTATCTACACATTGTCAAACATGAATACCCGAGTATAACAGCCATCACATGAACGTCAACAACAAACAAGAACGGAATTGTGGCTAACTGTCAGTGAAAGCCCTCAACTTCGAAACTGTTCGAAATCACCTCATCTATCGAGTTCAGCGTAGGAGGTTAATATCACCAGTCCACATACAATTGATACAGCACACTACACTACCAACTCTATTGAAATGCAAGTGTTCCGTTAAGTAAATTCGTCAATCACAACAACAGAGAAAAGTCAGATTAGTTAGTGAGGAATATGTATTGGGGTGACACAAACACACAAATACACACATTGAGTGAATCACATTAGAGTCGTTTTAAACCAATTCATACTCTTCTTTTAATGAGTGATTGCATTGTGTTTCATCAATGGAGCTTCCAAAACCAATGTGTTCCCAACTAACTGAGAAGTCACAGATAGTGGATCCACCGTCTCAGGAATTGCATATGACTGGCTGAACTCAGCAATGAACTCGCCCCTCCACGAGCACTATGCTTCTCCTTATGATGGCGTCCACTTACCACAACACGACCCGAATCCACATTCACACATAAATCCTCAGGCTTGTAGACAGGATCCACTGGAACTTCTACGTGCAGGAGCTTTCCACCAGATCCATCATCCAAAACCGTTGGGCCATGAGTACCTGAGTATGCATAAAAATCCAGATTAAAACGTCATTTTAGACAAATAATTCAAGTGACACGATATCATTATCTGACTACCTCTTCATACATTTAAATCCTATCACAAGTCTTACCTTTCACGACAAGAGCCTTCGAAGAAGGAACTGCTTGCAGCTGACTATCTGACTTCGGGCGAACACCCACCTGACCAGACTCATTCAGTGTTAGTGACTGATATTCAGGAACCTTCACAGGTGCTTCCAACATCAAAACACCATCCTGAAACAACATCACACGTCACAAAACCATCAGTTGTCAGTGACATATATTTCAATACAATGCTATATCCTCTATATCAGCAAAACGACACAACTAGAAAAAGGAATACTTACATCTGTGAGACGACATTTCAAATGATTGTTGTCAATGCTTCGTGGAAGCTCAACCATACGACAGAACTCACGAATGCTCTTTCCACCATCTTTCACCGTCTCCTTCTTTGCATGCACTGTCAGACGATTGTCACTCGATGTTACATTGATGTCTTCTGGATCGAAGCCCTTTGCATCAAATCTCACCTTAAAATGTACCTAAACAGGAATAAACAGCACGCATTAATTCACAACCCAACTGACAAACAAACGCCCACGAAAACACAATATGGGCGTCACAGTAACATCAACTCACCTTCCCATCTTCACCAACTTCATAGGCATCCTTCAAGAAATCGCTAGCTGAAGCAGTAGACGGAACATCCAGTGTACCCATTCTGTCTCGAATATCCTGGATATGATGCTCCATTTGATGCATTAAAGCGAATGGATCATGAGTTGATAGAGGAAAATGATCCACTGGCTGAAATACAAAATCATTGCATCTTATTAACTAACTAGTTAATACGTATCATTTTCAAAAACAATTCTAGTCAACTCTAGTAAGCGTGGAGCAAACTTTAAAATGGAGACATCCCCAAGGAACACTCTTATTCTTAATCGACAGTCAATAATTATGAAAAACAAAACTATGAATAACTAGACTCACCAATAATGCAAACATCCCTCTCCTCAATCGACGCATATCTTCATCCCATCTTCTCCATGCTGAGTTGACCCAATGGTCTACTGTACCGGTCCAGTCATCATGATATGGCGTGATAGAATTCCCAGAATGACTACTCCCACTACCTCCACGTTCTAAGCCTGTTAACAGATCACGTCTTTGTTTTTCGAATGATCTTGGTTCACGATTGACGGGAATGCTAACTATTTGATGCTTCTGCTGTCCTGACATACCAGCCAGAAGTTCCAGGATAATTTAGCAACGGAGTATAAGGTCGGAGAAATATCCATGAGTTAGGCTTGATTTATCTTCTTTATATAGCTTCAGGTAGTTCACTCAGTCATCATCATGAACATATTTTCCAATAAAAATGAAACTTAATCTGAAATTTTATTGGCTGAAATTCACTGGTATTCTATTAGTTATCTGATGAACGATCGCACTATGAATATTGAATTTCAATTGATGGGTGGTATCTATAGTTGGAATCCAGGATGCGCAGTTCGTACAATTTGGTACTCTTAAACTAGATCGAGCATTTCGTACCAGTTTTCTCGACATTTCATTGATTGTGTAACGTTAAAATAAGTCACTCTGCATATTTCCTCAATCCTAAGAGCCCAGCTGTGAAGTTTTTTGCATGACACTGATTACCATTTTTATCATTAGCAAAACAAACCTCCCTTATAGCTGGTCAGTAACAGTGAACTAACCGATCTGTAATAGTTTAGAAAGACAAATATGAGACAAATTAACCAATAAAATTTCCCACTCTCAGTCTATTTCTAATTTCCATTTGTCGTCCCTTCTTTCCGTTTCCTTCGTCGAGCCTGTTACAGCAGGACTGTACACTCTTTTGTTAGAGGTTAAAAATAGAAACATTGTACACAACGTTTGCTTATAACGATTCATTCTGAGATATGCATAACTGTGTAGTACAATTTACAATACAGTGTGCTGCTCGATGCTTCGTCTTCTCACTGGTCTACACTATCTAACTGGATTTCTACAGGGACAACTCATCCTCATCCGGTGACTGTTCTACAACCGGTCCACAGCTTCTACTAGTGTACACGACTTCAGTGGTCAACACATTTGTGAATTATATTAATAATTTGTATGTAGCAGTGGACTTTAACTGTACAACAGAGTAATCAATAATCTATATGACTCATTACTGTATTTTTAAAACTAACTGTTACACTATCATCTCATTAACTTGGAGTTATTATTCTAATATTTATTCTGTTACTCAGCTCGCTAGAAAGTCCCCTGCACCATTCCGTTTCAACTGGACAATAGAGCTTTAAGTTTAAGGTGTGGAGTTTTAGAAGATGTTATTGTGGCTTTTCCTAGGTGGGGATTATAAACATCAGGCCCAACCTCTCCTCTTTCTCTCAGCTTACTCTCTCTCCCTCTCGCTTTGCTAGCAAACTAGGTGAGGTTTAGGAAATATATCGTCTAGGAAGTGAACTCCGGACCACATGTGTAACAGTTTACCTGTATTCTACACCTGAAACCACTAACGCTCCTCACTTTAATCATCTGTAGAAATGACTGTGTTTTTGAGCAAAGAAAGCTTCTATTATTTTCGGCTAAACGTTCACAGTCATTATATTCACCATATTTTCTCCTTTCTGATAGTTCCAAATACAAAACACGCATGAATTATTATTCTGTTTTAGAAACGTATTAATGCTTTAATATGTTTAAATGGTATAGTGAACATGGTGTAGGTAGGCAGTAATCCTATTGATTACTGCTTAAACACTGGATTTGTTTTGTATCTAAGGTCACAAGAGGAAATCTACTTTGCTCTCTTATAATATTATATCGTCAGATTAGGGTAGTCGTTCAGATCACAAATACAATATGTGTGTGATTAATTTGATTGACGTTATATAAATATGCGTATAACGTTATTTCTCTAACCTAATATGTCTTGCTTTGAACCAGTGTAATTTTATTGAAGAATGATCTCTTGAAATAGATAGTATACTTGGTCATTTTGAAATGGCACTGTTAATACTGCTTGAGTGAGACCATGTGTTTGGCCTACCGTTGATTGGAGCTCGGAACAGAAAACAAAAAGTTGATCATGGTCCAAGGATAATATTGAGTGGATTGTGGGCGCTTGCGTGTGTGTGTGTGTGTGTGTGTGTGTGTGTGTGGAAGAAAAGAAAGCTTGTGGACAATTGTGGAAGCAGACAAAATGAGATTGAATAGGACAGGGTGAAATCCTGTCCTGTGTTGTTGAAATCCTGTATTCCACTCGGAATCAGAAACAAATATGATAATATTAACAACATAATACTGGTTGGATTTAATTCTGTAAGTAGTCAACCAACTCCCTTCATATGTAGTCCGGTTATCGAATGAAGATCAATGAAGGGATGTGGAATCAGGTCATATTTCTTTTCATCACTGTCAAAATGAGATGAGTCTAGATGCAGAGTTCTGTTTCTTAATAGATGTACATTGTCTCACAAGCTGTAGAGACTCAGATATTATCTAAACCATCATCATGATGGAAGGGTATTGCATATTCACCTCACAAATGTCATACAGGTTGTCAGCTAGGTGGTGTGTCATCTGGCTTCTGAGTGGTATGCTATGTAGTGTGTCATCCTGACACCGAAGTACAGCTGAGGTTAAAATAAAATAGAATCTTGCTCACCTCAGAATGGTTAAGGTGTTTTAAGTTTCCAACTGACGAGTATTCGTCCAGTCAGACTCTGAATGCATTTCATACTTTCGTTTGTATTGATTAATATGCATATTTTCAGAGTCCCTAGCTAAGCCAATCAATACTGACCAGATAAGTTCGAATATCTTTAATCTAAAATAGGTTCAGTCTATATTCTGTTGAAATATTTTGCTCTGTTGAGCACAGATCAATGTGATTTGATTTGTCCTCGTTTATCAATACTTGCCAGCTACTGATTAGGCATGTGCTAGAACACATCAGGTTCAGTAAGACTAGTGGAACATATTACTTCAGGACTGAAATTTTGAAGCTTCAGTAGCGGTGTAGTTATTTCTTCACTAGAGGAGTGTGGTTTCCAGTTTGACGACCTACCTTCTCTTTTCTCTATACATTACTGTCGACTAGTAAGTGGAGCGAGGTTTAAGCGTGTCGGTTGGGAATCAAGTCACTGGACGACGTGAGTGGCTGGTGAGTATTCTACTTCTTAATCACTGACTCACCGGATTAAGTGTTACGTAAGAACAAGGTATCTATTAATTAGCAACACCCTGGATCTCACTCTAATAGTATGACGTTTAAGTGTTCCACCCCGTATATTTGCAAAATGTACTTTCAATGAGGTACACTGTTTTAACAGTAAACAAACTGATGCTGTTAGGTTGAATCATGTGAGTTGATCGTCTGTCAATTTTCACACTATCACGTAACTGAGTGTCATAAAGGTCTGTCTAGCGTAGATTTAAGGCGTTTCCTTCACCTTGACTCTTCACATCTTAACCAACAATTGCCCGGATAACACATACACGACTATCTTCATGTAGGAGTTTATTTCTGTTTACGCCTGTCCACTTACGACATAGAATGAAGTGAGAACAATTGAATGGTAAGATGATTGAGATCGGAAAAATAAACTTTTAGTTAGGAAATGAATAGTAGTCATTGGAGTTATATGACAGTAGATTTTGATCATTAAGAGGTGAAGCAGTCAGTGAAATAACAATGGAAAATGACTATTATTATTCCCTTGGATTATGAGTAGAACATGGAAACTCAGCTTCACATCATCATTTCATCCTGTTTTATGCAGGCTATTTTAACTGTTTACAAGACTTCCCAATAGCTTTCATTTCAACTTCACACTATCTCCTCCATGTCTCCTATGCACATATTGACTCCTAACTCGTCGTTCCCTATTCGCCTTCAACTCGACAATCTGTTTGACTCGTGATGTTATTCAGTAATCTATTCAGTGTATGCTCAATCCATCCACCTTCATATGCTTCAGCATATTTGTTGGGCCAGAGGTTCTCAGTTGATTGGTTGTCGAACTCCCTTGTTACTTGTCCTTTCCAGCTGACTATTTTAATTCCAGTACTGAGTCAAGACAGCTGTTTATGGAAGATCGCACTCTTCTGGAAGTGCTTTTCATGATTCGCCAAGTCTTTGAACTAAGTAGAAGTAGTGACTGACTTGAAATTAGTATTGAAAATTGAGAACTTGTTCCTGATACTGAGTGTATTAGGTTTCCACGATGATTTCAGAGTGATATTTGTCTTGCTTTTACGATCTCGGTGGTCTGTGACATCCTCATCTATGCCTTGTGCGGTTGAAATGATCCTTCCTGTATACGTGAGAGAGATAGCTTTCTACAAATGTTCCCCATTCATGGTGATTGGTGACTGTTTTTATTGTAGTGCTTGTTTAGATGTCTTCATCATCTCTGTCTTCTCTGTGTTTAGTTGAAGTACTGTATCTGCTGCCAACCTTTTCTGCTAGAAGTGTTTGTTTATGCCCGTAGATCTTCGAGATTGTGCATTCTACCACAAATTATAATTAATTAAACGATTGAGATTAATGTGAGATAGTGTGATAATATTAGACGAACATCAACACACCATTGATTCTCATGACCAATTGCAACTGGCGTGAATCGATTACCTAGTTGGTCTCTGGTGGTGGATCGAGTGGTAGAGCGCTAGGTCAGTAAATCAGGGTTGATGGCTCCTTTCCTGCTACGTTTCAGGATATCATTCCATCTCCCATCGTCACCGATTACATAAAACTATATGTACTACAGATTGAGCGAGATGAGTGATTGTCCACCGCTCACACCAACCAGAAGTGCTTCCTATTTAGACACGTTGAAGTGATCTAAACACCAGACAGACGTATCGCTCGTTCAGTGACGAGCTCATCAGCGGCTTACGCAGTCTTACTCACTTCACGGAACTCAGAGAGTCCTCAACACCTCGATAAACTTGTTATAGCGAATTTCTGAATCGATCTAGCTAGTAAGCACTACTGGTTGGTGTGAATGCTATAGAACTACTGATCACATATTGTGATGTGAATAATGACTGCTGCCGTTTAAAAGAAACTGTGATGACATCTCACCCTTTCGAACTGTGTAAATTAAAGATTAATTTGGATATTGTGGGTATGATTCATCACCACTGCATACCTACTGGTGTTCCGATTCGAAGATATCCGAGACAGTCACCTCACCAGAACTTGAAATATATAT